TGCAGCCTGCGCCCCCCCATGCGGGGAGAGCGCCTGGCGCGCCCGCGTGCGACGCCCTCGGCGGCGTCGGCGCCGGCCGCGGCGGCTCGCGCTGCGCCTCCGAGCGCGGGGTGACCGCCTGGTCCCGAGGGTCTGAATGTCGGTGGCCCCGGAGCCCGGCGAGGGCCGCGAGAGGCCAAAAACTATGAAAAACCTCTGTCTCGATTTCTTCGAGACGCCCGATGTCTGGGTTGTGGGCGCGCAGCATCACAATGGCGCGGCCGCCCGGCGAGACCCTCCCCCCCCCCGACGCCCGAAGACCACGGCGCGCGCTGCCGCGCTGCCGCTGCCTCGCGGCCTGGGCGGGCGCCCCGCGGCGGCCGCGGCGCCCCCCCGGGGGCGCGCCGCCGGCCTGCCGCGCCGGGCGGCCGCCGCCGCGCAGAGGCGCGGGGCGCCGGCGGGCCCGAGGAGCGGCCTCGGCCTCGGCATCGCTCGGACGTGTGCATTTTTCCCAGACATCGGGCGTCTCGAGAAAATCGAGACAGAGGTTTTGCATAGGTTTTGGCCTCTCGGGGGCCTCGCCGGGCCCCGGGACCGTCAAGAAACGACTCGGGATGAGAAGCCGGTCCCAGGGAGGTGGTCGGGAGGTCGGGGGCCCGCGTCTCGAAAAAATCGAAACGTCGGATGTCTGGGCTCGGACGTGTGCATTTTTCTGTCGGCGAGGACCATCGCGAGGAGCATCTTTGAGCATTCAGCGGACAAGGCATGCAAGAGGTCGAAGCATGCACGGGGAATGGACGTCCGAGCGATGGCGGGCGGCGGCGTGCCTCCCGCGAGGGGGCGTGATCCCGAGCCCGGCGACGGTGGTATATGGCGAGGACGAAGGGAAAAGCGCCATAAACATAAGCTTTTTTGGTGCTCCGCGCAGATTGCTTGGATCCGCGCTTGGGCCCCCCTGGCGGCGCCTCCGGCGCCGCCCCTGCCAGGGAGGGGGGTCTGGCGCGGATCCAAGACATCCGCGCGGAGCGCCAAAAGTTTAGGTTTATGTGGCCTTCTCTCCTTCTGGTGATCCCGATCCCGGTGACGGTGGTACGCGATGTTCGGGCCTCGGGGCCGAAGTGCTGCCGCCGACGCCGAAGGCCAGGCCCGGATTCTCCCCGCGGAGGCCCCCCCCCATTGTGGCCTTCCTGGCTGGACCCAGACATCCGACGTCTCGATTTTTTCGAGACGCGGGCCCCCGACCTCCCGACCACTTCCCCGGGACCGGTTTTTCATCCTGGGTAGTTTTTTGACGGTCCCGAGGCCCGGCGAGGGCCCCGAGAGGGCAAAAACTATGAAAAACCTCTGTCTCGATTTTTTCGAGACGCCCGATGTCTGGGGAGGGGGGCCTCCGCGGGGAAGGCCGCAGACTCCGGGGACGGGGGCCACGTCTCGGCCCTCGCAGCAGGAGGCCCGCGCGCCCCCCGAGGAGCGCCCTGCGTCCGCGGGGGGCAGGCCCAGGCCACTGCTCGGAAGGCTGGGGGGCTCCCGACGAGGCCTTCGGCGGGCCCCCTCCCCGCTCCTCGGAGCTGGTGCTGGGCCGCCCACCGCCGAGCCTCCGAAAAGGACGCCGTCGTGGTGCGCCGCGCTTCCGCGAGGGGCCGCGGCACGGGCCCTGCGCTCCGCCCGCGCGCCCGCCGAGGTGCGCCCGGGCGTGCCGCGCGCCGGCCCCGCCGGCGCGGCGGGCCTCACGTAGACCTCCTCGGGCGAGAGGCGGAGCGGAGGGCGTCAGGAAGGGAGGAGGCGGAGGAGGAGGCGGATTATGATGACGGTGGCGAGGATGCGGGTGAGGTTTGAGGATGAGGATGAGGATGAGGATGAGGAGGAGGAGGAGGAGGAGGAGGAGGATGATGATGATGGTGATGAGGAAGATGATGATGATGATGATGATGATGATGATGATGATGATGATGATGATGATGATGATGATGATGATGATGATGATGATGATGATGATGATGATGATGATGATGATGATGAGGATCAGGATGATGATGATGATGATGATGATGATGATGATGAGGATCAGGATGATGATGATGATGATGATGATGATGATGATGATGATGATCATGATGATGGTGGTGGTGGTGATGATGATGATGGTGCTGGTGCTGCTGCTGCTGATGGTGATAATGATGCTGATAATGATGATGCTGCTGATGATGCTGATGACGGTGGTGACGATGATGATGATGGTGATGATGATGATGATGATGAGGAGGAGGATGTGGATGATGATGATGATGATGAGGAGGAGGATGATGATGATGATGATGATGATGGTGGTGGTGGTGGTGGTAGTGATGATGATGGTGCTGCCGCTGTTGCTGATGATGGCGATTATGCTGCTGATGATGATGACGGTGATAGTGATGGTGGTGATGATGGTGATGATGATGATGATGATTATGATGATGATGATGATGATGATGATGATGATGATGATGATGATGATGATGATGGTGACCGTACATCGACAAAATGTTGCACCACTTTTGCTGCGCATTGGCACCTATACTGCATTGCTCTTTCCCCTCCTTCACCCCGATCTTAATTTTGGGTGCATGTCGAAGAGCCCTTGGGCCGCCTTGGGGCTCCCGACAAAAAGTTGTACCACCTGAACTGAGCCCAATATTTAGATCGGAGGGGAGGGGGGAGAAACAAACGCTTATAAGCAGCGATGCAATTTATTGTCTGCGCCAGGTAGTGCAACATTTTGTCGATGTACCCGGATGGTAATGGTGATGATGATGATGACGACGATTTCGATGATGATGATGATGATGATGATGATGGTGATGATGATCGTGATGATGATGGTAGTGGTGGTGATGACGATGTGGATGATGATGATGGGGATGAGGATGAGGATGAGGATAAATGATGATGATGATAATGCGGATTATGATGTTGTTGTTGATGATGGTGATGATGATGATGATGATGATGATGATGATGATCGTGATGGTGGTGATGATGATGATGATGGTGCTGCTACTGCTGCTGTTTCTGATGATGATAGTAATGCTGATTATGCTGCTGATGCTGATGATGCTGATGATGATGTTGGTGGTGATGATGATGGTGATGATGATGATGATGATGATGATGATGATGATGACGGTGATGAGGATGATGGTGATGGTGATGTGATGATGATGCTGCTGATGATGATGATGATGATGGTGATGGTGGTGGTGATGATGATGCTGCTGCTGATGATGATGATGGTGCTGCTGCTGATGGTGGTGATGCTGCTGATGATGATAGTGATGATGATGTTGATGATGATGATGACGATGAGGAGGAGGAGGGGGAGGAGGATTACGATCACGAGGATTATGATGAGGATGAGGATGAGGCTGAGGCCCATGGTGCTGCTGCTGAGGAGGAGGAGGAGGAGGAGAGGATGCCCCCAATCGCTGCCGGCGCTCTGGCTCGAAGGGCTGCCATCCCTTACGGCGCCGATGTTTCTTCGGGCCCCTCGCGCGTGGTGGTGGGCGTCAGATGGATAGCCGGTTTCAGCCGCGGGGGCCTCAGCGCGGCCTCCGCCGAGGGTCAGGGGAGGGACAGGTACCGATACTGCTACTGCTACTCCGCCTGGAGATCCCTCGCCGCCACGGCTGGATTCTCGAAATCTGGGTCGGAACGCGCCCCGGGAAGGGTCTGGGGAGTGGCGGTATCGGTTCTTCTTTTTGCTATCCTCGGGCGAGCACGATTCGCAGTGCCTTGCGTGGCTCTCTGCGCGTTGCATCGGTCCGACCGGGCCAGGAGCCTCGGGCAGGGCACTCGGGTCTGGCTGTGGGGCGGCAGGGAGGCGGAGAATGCAGTGTGCAGCACGAGGCGTGCAGAGGTGCGGCGCGAGGGCGGAGCATCCAAGAGGCCCCGTGCCTTCCTCGACGGGGGTTGCTCACCTCGCGGTGCCCTCACTCCAGTCATTTTCGATGTGCGCGAGGGGTGGAGCCCTCTTGCTATCCCATGTTGCTCTCAGCCTGAAGTCCGAGCAAAAGAGTCGTTCTCGATTGCGCGTGCCGCCCACCCCCAGTTTGAGCGCGATCCTTCTCCTCCTCGTCTTCTCTTGCTTCTCCCCTCGTCCTCTTCCTCCCCCCCGTCCTCTTCCTCTGCGCACCTCCTCATACTCCTCTTCATGCTGCTGCTTCCCATCCCCCTCCTTTTCCTCCGTCTCCCCGCCCTCTTCTCAATATGTCCGCTACCTGCGTTGCCTGTTTCATTTCCCAGGTCGGACGATACCTGCGACATACGCCAGACTAGCGAGGCCCCTCCCTCTGGGTGGCGCAAGGGACCACACGAGGGCCCATCACATCCTTAACCCGAGGAGGTCCCAACTGAACCTGTCACCTTCATGGCATGCTGGCCTACAGCAACAGCATCAGCGCCAGAGAGTCAGAGAGAGAAAAAGACAGAGAGAGAGAGAAGGGAGAAAGAGAGAGAGAGAGAATGAGAGAGAGAAGGCGAGGAGCAGGGTAAAGACGAGAGTGGCTCGACCATGGCAGCATCAACGCCAAAAACCAGGATAGGCGAGCTCCCCCTCCACTCCCTCCCTCCCTCCCCTCCCCTCCCTACCTCTCCTCCCCCCCTCTCATCCCTCCCCCCTCCGCCCCTCCCTCTCCACCCCTGGCTCCGCATCAGCATGATTTTGCTTAGCCGCAGCGGTACATGAAACGTTCTGACTCTCAACTCTGAGCAGAACAGAGCCGTATGATCTATCAGAACAGCGTCAATGTTTTGGGAGAAGGTTTACGAGGCCAGAGAGAGGCTCACAATTGACTGAGAAAAGACGTGCTGGATTCTTAGACCTGGCCCCGCACTGAGACTGATCCAGATGCAAGGCTCGTACATGCCTGCGCTGAGCTTGGCCTTGCAACTTCTCGAACGCCTGAAACTCTTCCTCCTCCTCCTCCTCCTCCTCCTCCTCCTCCTCCTCCTGCTCCTCCCCCGCCAGAGCCAGCGGGCGCGAGGCCCGGGCGCAGCGCCGAGATCAGCTACGACAGCCAGCTGGGCGAGGACGTGCTCGGCGGAGAATGCGGCCGCCAGCACACCCCTCGGCTCCGGCTGGCCCGCGTGCCCGCCCCGCGTGCCCGCCTGGCCGGGGCTGTCCCCCCGTTCTGCAGTCCCAATCATGGCGTCATGAACGCGACGGGTGGTTGTCGGGCCTCTGGGGGGCCCTCACAGGGCCCGAAGGACCGTCAGCAAAGACCACTGGGCACGAGAAGCCGGTCCCGGGCAAAGGGCCGAGACCTCTGGGCGACCACGTCGGGGGTCCAGGTTTAGTGCTGGCCCGCCTGGGCCGCGGGCCGGCGCTCGCTCCTCCTCGGGGCCACCAGCCCCTGAGAGACCTCGCCCCTTGAGGGAGGAGGGTTGAGGGAGGAGGGAGGAGGGAGGAGGAGGAGGGAGGAGGGAGGAGGGAGGAGGGAGGAGGGAGGAGGGAGGAGGGAGGAGGAGGAGGAGGAGGAGGAGGAGGAGGAGGAGGAGGAGGAGGAGGAGGACCTCTTGGAGGCCTTTTCGGCCGTATTGAAGGCCTCTTGGGCCGTCTTGGGCCATGTTGAGGCCATCCTGAGGCTATCTGAAGCCGTCTTGGGTACATCTTGGGCCGTCTTGGAGGCATCTTGGTGCCATCTGAGCCGTCTTGGAGGCCATCTTGGGCCGTCTTGGAGACGTCTTGGCCGTCTTGGAGGCCATCTTGGAGCTGTCTGGGGCAGGAAAACCGTTTGCAACGACCTCTTCCGGGTGGCCGGCGGGACGTGACGAAGCCCCAGGGGGAGATCTTTGGGAAAAAGAACCAAGACCAAGAGCCATATAGTTCGGCACGCCGGGCACCCCTTTGATAAATCAAAAGGGGGCGGCGGATTGGCGTATGGCTCATCCCGCCACCGTGCCTGGGTTGTTGGTCGGAGGCCCGTGGGATGCATGTAAGGATCTTGTGGGAGATCTCTCGAAAGTCTCTTGGAGCAGGTTTGTGGGATGGTTTGAGGCGTCTCGGGGGCCTCTTGGGGACCTCTTAGGCTTTGATTTTGGCTTCTTAAGTGCCTCCGACTTCGGGGCATCTTGGGGGCACCTCGGGGGCCTCTGGGGGGATCTTGGGTCTATCTTGGGGCAGAGGGCTCAAAATGTCAGTGAATAATGTTCCCCTCTTGGGTCCTTTCGTGGGGCTGTCTTGGAGGTTTACTGGGCCCCTCTTGCGGGCTCTTGGGCCGTCTTGGGCGATCTTGGGCGCCTCTTGGGCCGTCTCGGACGCACTGAAGACAAAACGGCGGTAACGTTCAGACCATGCAAAATCAAACCAATTTCGACGAGATTGGCCTCTTAGGCCGCCAGGTCTTCCAAGACGGCCCAGGAGGCGCCCAAGAGGGCTCCAGGACGGTCCTCGGGGCCATTTTACGCCATGCTGGACACGCATGTCCCAAACAGCGCGCTCTTGGCCTCTGGACAAATCACGCGGGGACGGACCCCCCGAGAGCGCCCAGGGGCGCCCGGGAGCGCTTGGATGTGGGCCACAAAAGCATGTGTGCGATGCTTAACACAGAGATCTCGCAGGGATCTGAGGACACTCCAACTCCTGCCTCAGGGCACGCTGACGGATACCTATATGCACGTATGTGTTATGTACCAATCCATCCATCCATCCATCCATCCATCCATCCATCCATCCATCCATCCAGCCATCCATCCATCCATCCATCCATCCATCCATCCATCCATCCATCCACATATACATACATACGTACGTAAGTAGGTACGTGCTTGCGTGCTTACGTACATACATTCATACATACATACGTCCACACACATATATATATAACTATACACCTACATCCATACATCCATACATCCATACATCCATACATCCATACATCCATACATCCATACATCCATACATCCATACATCCATACATCCATATATCCATACATCCATACAGCCATACATACATACATGCATACAACCATACATACATACATACATACATACATACATACATACATACATACATACATACATACATACATACATACATACATGCCTTCATGTGTACATACACACATGCGTACATACACACATACATGCACACATACCTACATACATACATGCATACAAACATACATACATGCATACAAACATACGTACGTGCGTATTACATACATACACACATCTATGTATATCTATGCGCATTCACATACGTACATACGTATGTACTTAGTTACTGACTTACTTACGCAGTTACATACATACATATTTACGTACGTGCATACAGCTATAGGTGTAGAAACATAGGTGTGTGTGCATTATATATCACAAGTTGCCCCTTACATCTATTTCTAGTGAGCGGACTCCTGCGACCCCCCCCTAAACGGGACCCCCCCGATCCCCGGTCCCAGGGGCCTTCTGCACACTCCCTGACAGGGTCACCCGAGACTTCCGGCCTCTGAGGATCCTTCCTAGCCCGTGCAGGCGGCCCTTTGGCGGCGCCGAGAGGCCCCCCAAACGGTCCAACAGGGCCCCGAGACGCCCCACCCAAGATGCTCCCAAGACGACCCCCGAAGCTCCAAGACTTCCCCGCGAGCATTCGAAGTCGAGGGCCGGCCGTGCAAGTGGGCCCGCCGCGACCCCCAGAGAGCCCAAGAGGCGCCAGAGATTGCTCCAAGACAGCCCCAGGAGTCCCCAAGCTGGCCCCGCTACGACCCGCAGAGGCATCAGGACACGGCTTCTCGCCCGCTGCTGGCCCTTCGGCTTCTCGTCTTTGACGTAGAGGGCGCACGTGGGGGTGGGTGGGTTCTTTGGTGGCGCTCCTTGCCGCGACGCGGGCAAAATGCTCCTCCTCTCCCCGACAGCGCCGCTGCTCCCCTCGCCCTCCTCTCCCTCTCCTCCCTCCTCCTTCCTCCTCCCTCCTCCCTCCTCCCTCCTCCTCCCTCCCTCCTGCCTCTCCTCCCTCCTCCTTCCTCTCCCTCGCCTTCCTCCTCCTCCTCCTCTCCCTCTCCTCCCTCCTTCTTTTCCCTCTCCTTCCTCCTCCCTCCTCCCTCCTCCTCCATCCCTCCTCCTTCCTCCTACTCGTTCTCTCCCGTCCTGCGGGGACTTCCAGAGGCCCTCCGCTAGGCCCCGGAGACCCTAGACGAGCTGGAAGCGCCCGAAGCCTTTCTGCGACTTCTGAAGGCCTCCTCTCGCTGATGGGTTTTTCATCCCGGCACGGACCGGCAAAGGATCGAGGCTTGAGATTCGACGATCGAGGCTTTCCTAACGTTCGCCGTCCTCTCGGGGCCTCTGGCATGCGCGTCGCCGCCTGGCAGGGTCCGCCTCCCACGCAGCCCACGAGCATTTTCGGGGGAGCCAGCCGCAGTTCAAAGCCCTGGCGAACAGCGCGAAGAGCTACACTGCACGAAGCGCGAATGACAAAAATGTATGGCGCGCAGCCCCAATGCAGTCTCGCACGTCTATACATATATGTTATTATATTCTAGTGTGTTATATTATATTATACCATACGATCTTATATTATATTATATTATATTATATTACACTACATTATATCATATTAGACTACATTGTACTATAATATGCCATAACGTGCGATATCAGATTATATGGTGTTATATTATGTTATCGTATATTATATAACTTCATACTGCATTATATTACAGTGTAGTATATGGAATTATCGTATATTATATTATAGTATGTTATAGATCGTGCGTTATATTATATTAAAGCGTATTGCAGTATAGCATGATATAACAGGGTATATGACATTACAGTCTAGTATATGTTGCTTTAGTATACTATATTGTATTATTCGTTGCTATAACCTATGTTATTGGTTTATGCTGTATTTTACCTATCATCGTATAGTACATTGTAATACATATATAATGGATACAGTAAATCCTAGTAAACTATATAATGCTATTTTATCGTATAGTCTCATATGCTTATACGTGTAGGCATTTCGCTTGCTGGAACTGCGCACAGTTGTGTTGTACCCCCTGAGGAAGGTGGGCCAAGTCGCACAGTAAGGATGAGCAGCTTTCCACGGTTACCCTTTACATCCTCCCCTTTCGGCGCATCCTTGGCCGCTTTCGCTGGCCGCGCCCCGCACGCACATTGTCGACATGGCCTTCCAAGGCCCTTGCAACCTGATCGTGCGTCCTTATGATAAGGGTCGACTGTATCCAGTTCTGTCAGTGCCTGCCTGATGCGTGGCTTTCAGGTTTAGGGCAACGTATTGTTCGAGCTCTGGCTGGTCGGTAGCAGGTGTCGATGTTGTGGCAGGTGAAGGTCGGGCAAATACTCACGAGGGGTTACCACACTGTCGCTGCGCTGACGTTTGGACCTGTATGGCACCTGCCACAGGGACGCATTCGCAATTCTCCGCTCCTCTGTTCTGATCGGGGGGCGTTTTGCTTCTTATCACTCCCCCACGCAATCGAGTCTGAGGTCGAGTCGCGTTGCTGCAGGAGCTAGCGCCGAATCTGTCATCTGCTGATCAGTCTGTTTCGCGCGAGGCTGCTCGGTAAGAGAGGAGGGGAAACCTGTGAGGAGGAGTCGATGCGCTTCCGCTCCAGGGAAGGTGTGGAGGATGGCGGTCCATCGGGTGTTACCAGAGGTGTCCCTGGCCTAACGTGCCCCCAGGATTTCCAAACTTCCAAGGAGCCCCCACGGTCTCGAGAGCCCCCCTCAAGAGACCCAGAGGGCCGCAGGAGGCTCCAAAATGGAGCGAAAGGCTGGAGGCACCTTGGGCCAGAGACGCCTTCAGCAGCACCCGAATCCAGCATCGGGAGCCAGAGCAGCCTCACCCTGTCTGGAGGAGCTCGCCACGACGGGCCTGCTGTCCGACTCCGCGAGCACGGCGTACCCCTCGCGGCCGAACACGGCGGGTTCCAGCATGGCGTGCCTTGCCCGGACCATGTCGCAGGCCGCCTGCTTGTCCAGCGCGGGGGGGTTGCGGGAAGGGGGGGAGGGAGGGAGGTGGAGGGGAGGGACGAGGAAGGATGCAGGAGGGAGCGGGGAGCGGAAGGAAGGTGGAATTAGGAGGAGGAGGAGGGGGACGAGTAGTAGTAGTAGTAGTAGTAGTAGTAGCAGCAGCAGCAGCAGCAGTAGTAGTAGTAGTAGTAGTAGTAGTAGTAGTAGTAGTAGTAGTAGTAGTTGTTGTTGTTGTTGTAGTTGTAGTTGTAGTTGTAGTTGTAGTCGTCGTAGTAGTAGTAGTAGTAGTAGTAGTAGTAGTAGTAGTAGTAGTAGTAGTAGTAGTAGTAGTAGTAGTAGTAGTAGTAGTGGTAGTAGTAGTAGTAGCAGCAGCAGCAGCAGCAGTAGT